ACCTCTGGGCCGGGAACAGTGGGACTCAGTACCTTGGTCTGGTGGTCTGGTGTCTGTGTCTTTGTAGTGTGGAATCAGGTGGCTGCCTGTCTGCAGCGAGGTGATTCGGTGTCTTCTGCGTGACTCAGGACCTTGGTAGGGCGTGCACAGAGCTGCTTGTCTGCAGAGGGCTGATTCGGTGTGTGTTCCACCCAACTGGGGACCTCGGTAGGGTGTGGGCAGACCTGCCTGTCTGCAGCAGGGTGACTAGGCATCTTCCGCATGACTCAGGACCTCGGTAGGGCGTGCACAGACCTGCCTGTCTGCAGTGGGCTGATTCGGGCGTGTGTTCCGCGGGACTGGGGACCTCGGTAGGGTGTGGCCAGACCTGCCTGTCTGTAGCGAGGTGCTTCGGCGTCTTCCATGTGACTCAGGACCTCGGTAGGATGTGCACAGACCTGCCTGTCTGCAGCGGGCCGACTCGGCATGTGTGATTTCTGGAATCTTAACAGTTATATGCCTATGTGTAGATTTTTTTTTGATCAAGGCTAGTTGGAGTCCTATATGCCTGGCTGATCTGTATGTCAAGTTCTTTCCCCCTGCTTGGGAAGTTTTCTGCTATCACTTTTGTGGACAGTTTTTTTATGTCATCTGCACTCTCTCTTGTTTCTTCATTGACTCCAATCAGTCTTATGTTATTCTTCTTTGCATTTTCTAGCAGCTGCTGGATTGATTTCTCATGGTCCCTTACAATTTTAAATCAGTTTTTCTTTTCCTGGTCACTAATTGCAATCTTATCTTCTGTATCTGAAATTCTGTCCTCACATTGGCTCTTTCTGCTGCATAGACTTTTGATGGAGTTTTTAATCTGGGAATCTGTTTGCATCTGTTTTATGGATTCCATTTGTTTCCCATGTTGGGATTCCATCATGTTCCTCAGCTCCTGTGTTTTTTTTTTTATCTGTGTCCTCTCTAGATTTATTAATCCTTTCTTGCACTATGAGCACAATCTCTGCTGTTACGTGAGAAATTATTTTTGATTTCATTTTTTCCAGATCCTCTTTCGTTGCTAGTTCAGGGAGTCCAGGAGGTTGAGTATCAGAGTGTTCCATTTCATTTCCCTTTGGGGTTGCTGTAGGTGATCTGGAAGTCTGGTTCTTAGGCTTGTTTACGTGTCTTCTCATTTTGACCGGGGTGGGGGGGCAGTGCTGCTGACGCCTGCAAGGCTCACCTCCTCATGCTCGGGCTGTGGCATGCCTACCCGGAAGCCTCCTCTGGGCCGGGAGCTGTGGCCCGCTGACCTGGAAGCCTCCTCTGTGTTGGGAGCTGTAGCACACTGACCTGGAAGCCTCCTCCGTGCTCCAATTATTACCACAATTTTAGAACATTTTTCATTACTTGTACCTTTTAGCTACAATCCCTTTATATCTCCATATGCTCAACTTTAAACACCCATTAACCAGCTTTCAGTTGCTATAAATTTGCCTATTCTGAACATTTTATATAAATGGAATCATGTACTACATGGTCTTCGGTGACTGGTTTCCCTCAGTATAACACTTTCAAGGTTTATTCATGTTATAACGTGTCAGTACTTCCTTTTTATGGCTAAATAATATTTTATTGTATTGCTCTACCACATTTTATTTTCCCAGCCATTAACTGATGAAATTTTTTTTTCACTTTTTGGCTGTTTTGAAAAAAATGTGGCTATAAATATTCACATACAAGTTTTTGTGTGGGCATATGTTTTCATTTCTCTTGGGTGTATACCAGTTAATGAAATTGCTGGACCATAGGGGAAATACTTCCTTTCTTATTTCACTGAGAATGTTGTATATAGATGCATATTTATACATGAATGCCATTTTATTATTTTTATTTCATGTACCTTCCTTAGTTACTATGCAGAAAATATCCTAGCAGTGTGGAGGCTGAGGCAGGAGGATTGCTATGACTTCAGGGCCTGCTTGGGCTACATAGTGAGTTCAGAAATAGCCTGGGCTACATAGTGAAACTCTGTCTCAAAAAAACAAAACAAAAGTGTTGCCATAACACTAGAAAAGTAGTTTTTCGTACGAAAATAATTATCTTTCGTTAAAGCTGTTAACATTTTTCAGCCCTACACAGGATGCTATGTTCTCTGCTCCTCTGTGAGTGTCTGCTGCTGCTCACTGGCTGTGCTCATGATGACGACTGGATTGACCCCACAGACATGCTCAACTATGATGCCGCTTCAGGAACAATGAGAAAAGCTCAGGTATTAAAACAGGCATGTGTGTAGGACCTTATTAGTCCTGTGATGGAAATAGTCTATTTTTGTTATTATTTAACACAGAGCCGTGAAAGTAATGCATTAATGATTAGCAGTTGTGCAGAATACATATCTTCTTCTTCTTCTTTTTTTTTTGGCACTGGGGATCGAGCCCAGGAGCCTGTGTATGCTAAGGTAGGACCCTACCACTGAGGTATATCCCAGCCCCAGAATACTTGCCTAATACTCTGAAGATTATTTCAAACTCACTTGATTATTTGTTTTGAACGTGAATGTAAAGCCCATCAAGTTGTAAACCAGTTTGATGTTAGTTCTTAAAAGGTATATTTGAGATTTTTAGTTTTTGGTAATTCAATATAAAAGAAGAATATAATGAGAAAAGTCATAAAATGATGTCAAAATTTTAGTCTTCATTAACTGATTAGTATTTTATTTTATTTTTTTATTTTTATCTTTGGTACCGGGGATCGAACTTGGGTCCTTGTGCTTGCACAGCAGGCCGCGAAACCACTGAGCTAAATCCCCGACCCTGAGTAGTATTTTTATAGCTGAACTGTAAAGAAATAAAATCTCTCTGCTTTGTTTTAGGTGAAGTATGGTATATCAGAGAAAAAAGATGTCAGTCCTGAATGGTCACATGCTGATGAAATGTCAGAATGTTATAACAGAGTTGATTCTTTAACTCATAAGGTAAGATGTTTTCCATTTGTTATTTATATTAAATCATTCTATTTTCCTGTGTTTGGTAATGTTTGTGTTTCTGTGTACTATACAACTTATACCTTTTTTAGTTACACTAGTCTTGGTTTCTCTGGTAGTATTTTCTATTTTTTATAATAACATTTATCGTGTTCTCATGTTATGTTGTAATTATTTCCTTCCCAAACTTTAGACTTGTTGGCGTAAGGAATATACTTCATTCATCTTTATTCTGCACCATGTAGCATAGCACTCAGGCAGAGTAGAATGACAATAAATGTAGCAGAAGAAATTGGTCTCGTACTAGTTTATAAGCATGAAAGTCCTAGAAATATAAAAGGTTGTTATAATTTAGAGTGTGGTGGCCATTCATTCCTTCTTTTTTTGAGCCTTTTAAAAACAATTGGCTGCAGAGGGAAATAGGGTTATCAAGGGGTTTGAGCAGCGTCATTGTTCGCAGGGGGAGCCGCCCTCTGTTGCCCGTGCAGGCAGAGTGAGCTGGCGCAGACCGAGAGAGCCTGGGATGGAGGGGGTGGTTGTGATGTCACTTGGGGCCGCAGAGCTCTAGCAGTGCTGAAGACACAGTGACAGGTGAAGAGAAGAGGCAGGTGTGAAACTTGTAGGAGGCAGAGTAGATAAATGCTGATGGCTGGGAGAAGGAGGGAATAGAGAGGAAAGAGCTAGAACGAATAGGTGAGGTTTCCACCCTGAGGACTGGGAGAGTAGTTAACTGACATCCAGGTGTACCCAGATTAGACCTCTAGGCCCCTGCTTGTGCTTCATATCAAATGCTAACAAGAAATGCTAGCGTGACATTTGCGCCAGCTTAACTGTGTTTTGTGGTATAATGCATTCATTTGGTTGCACAGTAAGAAATTTAAAAATGCCTTTTCCTTTTTTCTGATTTTAGCTCAAACATTGTAAAGCTATGATTGGTAAAATGGAGACTTGAGTCCTCCTTTTGTGGTGCTGGGGATCAAACGCAATGCCTTTGCACACACTAGTCAAGTCCTCTACCTTTGAGCCCCCTTGAGTAAAAAAGTCATTTAAAATTTAAAAAATAAGCTGGGTGTGGTGGCACACACCTGGAACCCCAGAATTCTGGGAGGCTGAGGCAGAAGGATAGTGAATTGGAGCCCAGAATGGGCCACTTAGTGACTTAGTGAGGGGATTGGGAAAAAAAGAAGACTCAAGATATATCATCTATGGGTACAAATTCCCTATGATGAATGTTATCTTGTGTATATCTAAAATGTACCAATAAAATTAATTTTAAAATATTAATAAAAGGGTTCACAATGAAATTCAACACAGAGGCCCCAGGTTCAATCCCTGGGTTCAATCTCCAGTACCAAAAAAAGAAAGAAAGAAGAAGAAAAAAAAAAAAATATATATATATATATATATTTTTTTTTAGTACCAGGGATCGAACTCAGGACCTTGTGCTTTCAAGGCAGGGGATGATTTTCTTTTCTTTTTTTTTTTGGTACCGGGGATCAAACTTGGGACCTTGTGCTTGCAAGGCAGGCGGCAGCACCACTGAGCTAGATCCCCAGCCCAGGCAGTGATTTTTAATGAATTGTTTTATAATTGAAAGCTAACAAAACTGCTGCATGACTTCCAAGTCTGTGTGTGCACTGCTTAATTATTGTCCTGTTTGTCAACTGAAGCCATTTCATTACTCAGGTGAAGTCATGGCCCACATTTAGTTTAAAAATATAAGTTGATTATTACAAACCTATTTTAATATTTGTAAAATATCCACTACCCTCGCTCAGCAACTTGACCACTAAGGTAGAGCTAAACCTAAGAGTCCATTCTACTGAATCGAAGAACTATGGTTGGGAGTGGTAGCGCACACCTGTAAATCCCTGCGACTCAGGAGGCTGAAGCAGGAGGATTTTGAGGCCAACTTGTGTAACTTAGTGAGACCCCCATCTAAACATAAAAATGGCTGAGGACATAGCTCAGTGATAGAATACTTGACTAAGATGCACAAGACCCTAAGTTCAGTCACCAGTATGGGGTTGGGAGGTATGTACTGAAATTTACCAAAGGGTCCCCATTTGTAGGAAACTCTGGAGAAGCCACAAATCCTGCCTTCTTGGGCATTCCATGTAGTCGGGGATGATCATTCACTGACAGAAAAATAGGAGGTCAGAAGTGATATGCACATGCAAGAAATTCTTTGCTGTGTTCTTCATTTCATCTTCTGACTATCCTCTTTCTGTCTCCCCTCTCTATTTATCCTCCCTTTCCTTCCTTTTCTTCTTTCATTAAATCATTGCTTTGAAATTAGAAAGAGGCAAATTGGTGCAGATGCCGTGGATCTGTCCTTCCTTGTTTCAAAATCTTCAGCTTTAAAATTGCTGAAAAGCAGCAGAAAAAACTGCCAGGTCAGGGCCAACTACTGGACTTGTGTTCCTCATTTGTTGCCTTCTGCTCTTCCCAAAGAGACACAGGAAGCAAGTACTTGATAAATACAAGGTATGATAAAAGTATGGCGAACATTTAAAAAATTTAAAAACCCAAACATTACAATAAAGACACATTACCAGCCATTAATCTCCCTCATAATAATCCTCTTTTCTTTGAACATACTTATCCCATGGTTCTTGCCACTTTCTTTTTTCTGTTTTGTTTTGGTGCCGGGGATTGAACTCGGATCCTTGCACTTTCGAGGCAGGCAGCAGAACCACTGAGCTAAATGCCTGGCCCCTTTTGCCGCTTTCTGAAACAGTTTTAGAAGTCCTCCTTTCCTGAGTGTCTTTAATTGTGCTGTTGTGGCTGCCTCAGTGGATATCTTCAATTGATTCAAAACATCTATCTTTCATGATTATTTTAACTTTGAAGAAGAGCCAGGAGTTGCATGGTGCCAGATCTGAGGAGTAAGGTGAATAAGGAACACCATAATTTTTTTTTTTTTTTTTTTTTGGTACGGGGGATCGAGCTCAGGTCTTTCCACTTGTGGGGCAGGCGGTGGAACCACTGAGCTAAATCCCCAGCCCTACCATAATGTTTTTATAAGCCAGCCTTTCTTTTGGATGGCACTTGGTGGCAGTATTCCCTGTATTTTTGGTCAGACCTTACAAAGACACTCAGGAAAGAGGACTTCCATAATTGCTTCAGAAAGTGGCAAGAACCATGAGATAAATGCTTTCAAAGCAAAGGGAGAGTATTTTGAGGGGGATTAATGGCAATGTCTTTTACTGTAATTTAAAAAATTTAATTCAACATATAGTTTGATCACACATCATACAAGCTTGATAGCACCTTACTTTGACTTTGATGGAGTCACCACACTAGAAACTGAACTCATGTTAAAATTTGATACTCACTAATGTTGAATTTATTGTATGATTACAGATTGATGAGTGTGAAAAGAAAAAGAGGAAAGACTATGAAAGTCAAAGTAATCCTGTTTTTAGGAGATACCTAAATAAGATCTTAATTGAAGCTGGAAAGCTTGGACTTGTAAGTATTTGGTGGTATGATACTAATCAGTATAGTGGTGAAAGGATAGAAGGGAATGGAATTAATATGAGAAAATGGAAAAATAGGAACAAAATCTTTGTAAATAGGGAGGAATGGAGGGGTTGAAGGGAGGGCTGGGCAAGGGTGAAAAATAAGAACCAAGAGAGACTATGTAAAGGTGCAAATTTCCAACGATGAATGTCATTATATTGTATACCTAAAATGTACCAATGATTAGAATGAATAATCGATAATGTAAAATAGGAAGAAAAGGTCCAAAGGGGTAGGGGTAGTGGGAGGGGCAGGGGAAAGGAAAGACGGGAAAGGAAAAATGCTGAGAAATGGAAAAAATGGAAATAAAGTCTTTGTAAATAGGGAAGGGTGGAGGGGGTGAAGGGAGGGCTAGGAATGGGGAAAAAATAAGAACCAAGATGCATCACGTAAAGGTACAGAAATGTAATTGTGTTGTATACCTAAAATGTACCAATAAAAGAATTTAACAAAAAAAATAGTGGTTATTAATTTGAAATAGTATAAAGAAGTAAGTGATTAAGTCTTATTATACTTTAATATCTGACTCACCTTTTTCCCAAAAGCTTTTCATACGAGATAGAAAGTACCATCCTGTGTTGCAGTGGTTTGCTGGAAGGCAAGCAGTGTAAACCACTTTTCTTTTTCCTACAGCTCACAGCTGTATCACTGATTGAGGTGAGGGAGTGGGTGAGGGAGTGGCTGTCTTTATCTTAGTCATGTAATGTAAGATCATTATATGTTGAGGAAAAGAAAAATTACTTTTATTTGTTACTTTGTGATACTGGGGCACTGAACGCAGGGAATTGTGCAGGCTAGGCAAGTGTTCTGCTACTGAGCTTTTGTTTTTATTTTGAGAAGTTGCTCAGGCTGGCCTCCAGCTTGTGATCTTACTGCCTTGTCCTCCTCAGTAGTTGGGGTTACAGGCATGCACCACTGTGCCCAGCTAAGAAAAACATTTTAAATAGTTTTTTCTCCTTACTCTTTACTGTGGAGGGTACTGCTTTTGTAGAATTATGTATTATATGCATATTATTGATATTTTTTTTGGCAGTGCTAGGATCAAACCTAGGGCCTTGCATATGCTAGGCAAGAATGTTGCCACCAAGCTATACCCCCAGCCCCAAATTTCCACTTTTTAGGGTCGCTTCGAGGAGTCAAAATATCAAGAAAACTTACAATTTTATAATTTACAACATTTATAAAGTTCACTTTCAAGCACATAGACTTTTTATTCTTATTGTCTACGCCACTAAATTGGTCTAGAGAATCAAGAGACCAGACTTTTGTTTGGTCTGGTCATTAGTTCCAGTCACTACAATTGGTCACAGGCAGATTGCTGAAAATGAAAGGGCATTGTATCAATATGGGGCCAGCTGGCCAAGCTGAGCAGACACTGTCCTCCTGGTTCATTAAGAAGTGGTTGAAAGGGGAAGGAATATTAGATATATATAATTTCATAAGACCACTCTATTTTAGAAGTGTAAAAGCAGATGTTCTCATTTGTACACCCTCTAATTTGAGTCTTAACCACCATGTGCAGAATGGACTAGAGCCTAGATAAAGAAATAGATGGAGCCATAAAATACTTGAGATGGAGATCTTAAAAATACTTAGCTCCAGATTTAAAAAGAAAGTTAACGTTTATCAGTGATAGCTTTTTTAGAGTTTTCTAATGATTTGTGATATGTCATATAGTGTTTTTGTTTTTGAAACTTTATTTTTTTATCTGTATTTACTCTTAGAAAATGGAATTTTTTCTTGTTTTAGCTTTCTGTCACTATAATGAAATAGCTGAGATAGTAAACATAAAGAGAAAAAGTTTGACTCCCAGTTTTGATTGGAATTTCAGTCCAAGATTGAACAGACTCTTGGTTTGGGCCTTTGGTAGGTATCCCAGATGGTGTTGGTTAGCTGGAAGTCTGTAGGGGCGCAAACTGCTCATCTCATGGCCTGGAAACAAAAAGGAAAGAGGGAGGGCTGAGGACCCACAGTCCTTCAAGGTCACACCCTGCTGCTAGGCCTCACTTCCTAAAGATTCCACCACCTCCATTGAGTGCTACCCTGGGGACCAAGCCTCTAACACATGGACCTTTGGGGGATATTTAACATTCAAAGTACAGCAGGTATCAACTGGCAAATGAATGCAAAACATGCTTTGCACTGATTTTGCTAAGCTGAGCTCACACTAATAAAGATGGTTATAAATATTGTATATTTAAGGAAACCCATTATTTTGCCTCTTTTTGAGATCTCTTATTTTTCTTATTTAAACTACTGAAAACTTTAGGTTATTAGAAAATTGTGTCAGCAAATGGAAGGTCATAAACTGAATCATAAAGATATATATACTCAGTCCTCATTATTGGCAGATTCCGTATTTATGAATTTACCTATTCACTAAAATTTCTTTGTGACTCAAAATAAAAACTTGAAGTAATTTTATGGCCATTTTTGGAGATGTGCTGAGTGGCAGAATATTTGAGTTGCTTTGATGTCCCTGTTCCCAGCTGAGGTGAAAGAAGGCAAAGAACCTTACCTTCTTGTTTCAGCTCTAATACTACTACTAATTGTCTTTTTCTGCTACGTTTAGCATGGTCTGTTTAGAGCTACATTTTCAGTTTGTTTTGTGAGGAGGATAATTTTGTTCTTTAAATGTCCCCCAAGTGTACTGTGAAAGTACTGTCTGGTGTTCCTTAAGTGCAAGAAGGCTGTGATATGTCTTACAGAGAAAATATATACGTTAGATGAGCTTCATTCAGACAGGAACTACAGGACTGTTAGCTCTGTGTTCCACGTTAATCAGGAGAATATATTAATAAGGTGCTGTAGTAACACAGCGTGAAACAAAGTTACATATTGACAGATTGATGAAAGTGTTTTGAGGAGAGCTTCACAGGGCTCTAACCCTGTGTTTCCTTTAGGAGTAATGGTTCAGTACTTGCTGGTTAGTGTGTGAAATGGCTTCGTAGAGCAGAAGTACTGCATATAACAAGGATCAACTGTATTTTAATAAAATTACAGTATCTTACATGAAGAAGTGTTTTCAAATGTTTGTCACGTGTATTTGCTTTTCACATTGGCCTTTGAGACAGAGGTGGATGTTACTATACATGTGAAATATTGTGGACTAAGTATAGTTGTCATCATTATTATTATTATTATTTTGCGGTGCTGGGGATCATGCAAATGAATTATATATTATATTCCAAACTGGCTTTTTGTTTTTTTGGTACCGGGGATTGAACTCAGGTCCTTGTGCTTGCAAGGCAGGCACAGTGCCGCTGAGCTAAATTCCCAGCCCCAAACTGGCTTTTATCTTCATTTTTCACTGAGTAATATAATAAAATCGTTTTTCTATTCTTTGTGGGAAATTTTATTTAGCCTGATGAAAACAAAGGTGATATGCATTATGATGCTGAGATTATCCTTAAAAGACAAACCTTACTAGAAATACAGAAGTTTCTCGGTGGAGAGGAATGGAAACCAGGAGCCCTGGATGATGCACTGAGTGATATTTTAATTAACTTTAAGCTTCATGATTTTGAAACATGGAAGTGGCGATTTGAAGATTCCTTTGGAATGGATCCATACAGTGTGTTGATGGTAAGATGGGATAAGGGTGACATGATTAAGTTTCCTTTTTAAAAAAATATTTTCAAAACACCACCATAGTTATGTTAAGAACCTATACTACGTCACTCATACCATGATGAACAAGCAGCACAGCTGGGAAAATGATTTTGATTCCAGTTCTTTTGGTTTTACTGTTCATTACCATTTTTTTTTTGGGTACTGGGGATCGAACTCAGGTCCTTGCGCTTGCGCAGCAGGCAGCGAAACCACTGAGCTAAATCCCCTGCCCACCATTTTTTGATGGAAGGGACAGCTTCACAGTGATTTGACTTCAATGTCTTCTGTTTTTAAGGTACTCCTGTGTCTGCTCTGCATTGTGATGTTAGTAGCTACCGAGCTGTGGACACGTGTTCGTTGGTACACCCAGTTGAGACGTGTTTTTATCATCAGTTTTCTTGTCAGTTTGGGATGGAATTGGATGTATTTATATAAGGTATTAAATTGGTACATAGTTTAAAAATTTTAAATGTAAATTCATAGAAGACTATACTTAACAGCAGTCTTCCCTCAGATGTGGGTGGAAGGCAGTGTTTGGAGGTGCTCAATGGGAAGGTATTAAATTGGTAATTTTCAGCCAGATGTGGTTTTTTGGGTCCTTGACCCATTGTGGGAAAAGTGTAGTCCTGATTTTGATAACCAATTCCTGCTGGGTAGTTCATTGGCAACTAAGTTAACACAGAGCTAGGTGGACACATTTTAAAAACAGTTTAAGAACTCATAGGTAATTTGGAGTATGTCCTTTTATTCTTTGTTTAAAACGATACCAAAATGTCATTTCTTTTAAAGTTAGGTTATTTTTGAATGTTAAGTGGCATGTTCAGGGGTGGGGATGTAGATCAGTGGTAGAGGGTGCTTGCCTGGCATGCGTAAGGCCTAGGGCTCAGTCCCTAGCACCATTTAAAAAAGTATGTTCACAGTATAGAATTTAGAAAAGACATAAACAAGTAATTTAAAAAATTCACCTATATTTTATTACCTATGAGTAATTGCTGTCAATGTTTTGACATTTCTTTTTAATCTTTTTTCTAATCTTTAATTATCTCTTAAAATTAGAGCAGGGTGTGGTGGTACTTGCCTGTAATCCAAGCACTTAGGAGACTGAGGTAGGAGGATTGCCACAAGGCCACCTGAACTACACAGTGAGGCCCTGTCTCAGAAAAACAAAAAAATAAAAATAAAAATAATGTAACAGTCTGGTTTGGAGAAATGGTAAAGACACATTGATTCAACTGAGGTATTTTGGATGTGCGGGCCGAGCTTTCATTGTCTGCAGCCTCTCATGGTTCCTTTTTGGTGTTGGTCAGCTAGCTTTTGCACAGCACCAGGCTGAAATTGCCAAGATGGAGCCATTAGGCAATGCGTGTGCAGAGAAGATGGATTGGACTGGCAGTCTCTGGGGTAAGGCATGTGTTCATTTGTCCCTATTTTTAATAGAATTCTGAGAATGAGAAAACAGTTATCCCAGAGAACTTAATGAAATGGCAGAGGAGGCCTTCTATGACTAAATCGTTAACACAAGAATGTGTTAGCAGGTGGTGCCACATGCCTGTACTCCCAGCATGTGGGAGGCTGACACAGGAAGGAGGATCATGAGTTCAGAGCCAGCCTGGGCTACATAGCAAGACCCTGTCTTAAAAAAAAGCAACTACAGCGAGAGGAATGTAAACTAATGATATTTTAGGCTCATGTAAAGTCACAGCGAGGAATAAAAACTGCATGTCGGCTCTGACGTCTGTCTTCCTCCATTAGACTGCAGAGTCCTGTTATGCTCACTTGTTCACTGGTCCTTGGCACAGTGCCTGACCCTCTAGGCCCTCCACAGAAGTTTATTAAAGAATTGAACGAGTGTATGTTCAAATGAATAGCTAGCCTAGCTTTCATCTCCTTATACTGACTTATGAAATCTTGTTAAACGTTTAGTAAATTTTTTTTAACTAAAGAAAAACTTTTTCCTTAACAGATTTTGTAAACATTGTCACTAATGTTGATTGTCTTTAATTATTTATATTTAGTTTTAGGAAATATATAATGTTCAAAGGCACTTTATAAAGACAAGTCCATAACGATGTACATAGAATAGAATCTCAAAAGATTCTATAAATGTATTTTAAAGTTAATGTTTTTTAAAACATTTGTGGGAACTGCGTCCATTCAGCTTTGCTTTTTGGCTTCAGGAGATAGCTAAGTGCTATAGAAAAGTTGGAAGAACTAATATTCCACTTTATTTTGTAGAAATAGTAAAAAACTGACTTTTAAAATTGAAATATGGGGTCAGAGATTTAGCTCAGTGGTTCCGGCGCCTGTCTTGAAAGAGAAAGGTCCCGAGTTTGATCCCCGGTACCAAAAAAAAAAGAAAGAAATATGGATCTGGGGATTTAGCTCAGTGGTTCTGCTGCCTGCCCTGCAAGTGCAAGGACCCAAGTTCAAAAAAAAAAAAGTTATTGAGATAAAATTGAAATATGGGGTTGTAGATTCAGAGGGAATTATAAAAAATGGAGCCTATAAACCCTTTATCCATTTCCCCCAGTGGTAATATCTTATACAGCTACAGTAGTACAATATCAGAGCCAGGATACTGACTTTGATACAACCCAGTAATCTTATTCACACCTCCCTAGTTTTACTTATACTCATTTGTGTGTATAAAATAACTACTTTTAATTATTTACCTTTTAGAAATCCTTATACAATAAAATTGTTTGTCTTTGTAAGATGGGTAATTTGGATTTTTAAAATGTTATTTTGGATATAAGATTAATTTTTAATCAACATTATATATAGGAAGCTTATTTAAAATTTATCACAATTCAAAATTAACCGGTGGATAGACAGTCAAAACCAAATTTATGTTATTTGGGAATGAAATGCAACTTAAAAAAATGATTCAGTATTTTGTCTGTTTCTCTAAATAGAATGGTTCAGAAGTTCATGGACCTATAAGGATGACCCATGCCAAAAATACTATGAGCTCTTATTAGTCAACCCTATTTGGTTGGTTCCACCAACAAAGGTATAGAATATATTTTGTAAAAATTACTTATACACAATATATAAAAAATCCTTTGCATTTATAAAAAAGTTATTAGTGTTTTTAAGAGTTGTTTTGCTAATAAATCTTTGTCATAGAAAAAATTTCCATCACACAGTAATTTTCATGACTTCAGTCTGAACACACAGTGTCTTTGGGCTGATTCTTTTTATCTCAGTCCTTTGAGGAAAAAAATTAGGTTGCTTTTATCTTTTCTTCTAGGCACTTGCAGTTACATTTACCAACTTTGTAACAGAACCATTAAAGCACATTGGAAAAGGAACTGGTGAATTTATTAAAGCACTCATGAAGGAGATCCCAGTGTTACTTCAGATTCCTGTGTTGATAATTATGGCACTGGCCGTCCTGGTTAGTATATTAGCACTATTGATTAACAAGACTTGCAGAAAGGCAGTTCTCGGATTACTGGGCTGCTTTGCTGTTGTGCATCATGGTAAATCATGCTTACTGGTATGAGAAGGTGACTTTTAAGTGATATATATTTATATTTCCATGTATAGTCCTCTAATCAAGAAACTGCCTCTCATTTGTAGATGTCACAGCAGTGACTTAGAATAACTTTTAAAATGTTTTTTCTTTTTATGAAAAATAAAGCAAATTTTCATACCCAAATAAGAGAAAAACAATAGTTACTACACTATTTATTGTTATCTTCAAAGTACTCAGCACAAGACATAAACCAAAAAGATTCTTACAAAAAAGAAACATAATTTTAAACTCAGTGAATTAATATACAGGAAGTCAGTTGATTACTCATCTTTGAAAAAGAGTGAGCCTGCTTGGAGCCCTGAAAAGGTAGAACGTTGGCTTGAACACAGAGTCAGAAAAGGATATGGAAGGGGGTGTGCTGAGAAACAGTTTGGGAAATCTAGGAGCAGGCATTTATTAAGAAGAATGTTGCTCATTATTTACCCATGGTCTGTTCAGGTTTTTTGTTGATTTTGAGTCAGTACCCCAAAAAAGCATTGGTCACATAAAACAAAAAGTAAAGAACTCAGATTTGCTATGGGAAATTCTCGTCCCTCAGGATACAAAATTCATTATGCTTCATTCACCCTGAAAATGTCCTTTTCTTTGGTTTTCTTTTGGTTTGTGATTACAGGATTCAGTGGTTTTGAGGTATGGTTTTATTAGGTGACATTAATTCTATAGTAGTAGTTTAGTCTCTAAAACAAAGCTGCATAGTTTCTTGTTTCATCTGCTTTTTTTTTTTTTTTTTAATGGTACCGGGGATCGAACTCAGGTCCTTGCGCTTGTGAGGCAGGTGGCGGAATCACTGAGCTAAATCCCCAGCCCTTTACTTTCTTCTGTCTTCCAAAAGTTTATCTCTGGTACAGAGATTTTCCACCTTTTGTTCCTAGGAATCTTGCACTTTTTTTTAAAATTTAAGTTTAAAGAGACAAGGTCTTACTGTGTGTTTCAGGCTGCCCTTGCATGCATTGGCTCAAATAATCCTCTTGCCTTGGCCTACCAAGTATGCATTATTAAAAATAGAAAAGATCTCCTGTTTGTGGGGTTGTATTTGTTGATATTTACCATATTACTGGGAATTAAAACAGAAAATTTGAAATTAGAAGTACACACAAGGGCCGGGGATTTAGCTCAGTGGCACTGTGCCTGCCTCGCAAGGGCAAGGTCCCGAATTCGATCTCCGGTACCGCAAAACAAAACAAAACAAAAAAACACACACACACAAACCCACATCTCATGAGTGGTCAGAAAGTGGATATTGGGCCGGGGATTCAGCTCAGCGGTTCTGCCGCCTGGCTCGAAAGCGCAAGGACCTGAGTTTGATCCCCGGTACCAAAAAAAAAAGAAAGTGGATATCACCCTACCCCCTGCACCATTCCACCATACACTCACGAGAGGACAGTGAAAGACAAATGAGTTTATAGTATGAAAAGTTTTTTGACCTCCAAGATTTCCTGAAGGAATCCCTGTGCCACACTTCTGAGAACTACTGCCTATTTTAGCCCATGAAATGTGAATCAAAAGCTGTTGAATATTAGGTGTAGCTTAAGCCAAGTTTGTATTTGTAAAAAATAAACCTACTGGAGAATATTTATATAGTGACATACAATTTTAAATAATTTTCAGTATTTACTTTTGATTGGTATGAATACAGAAACATACAGGTAATTATCAGTTAGCACTTTCTTTTTTTCTTTCTTTTTTTTTTTTTTGGTACAGGGGATCGAACTTGGGTCCTTGTGCTTGCACGGCAGGCAGCAAAACCATTGAGCTAAATCCCCAGCCCCTCAGCACTTTCTAATTTGAATTTCTAGGCCTCATTCTGCCCTTGTTATGGTCAGAAGGTGTCTACCTGATTGAAACATCTACTTCATCCTGAGTGATTTAATCAATTTTATGGGGTGGTCTAGCCTGTATTAAAGAAAAGGTCTAGTGAAAAAACAAATTAACATGTTTGTGTATATAAATGTTAGATAGTATTTTTAGCATACTGAATAAAATACCTCATAACGGCACTGTTAAGTCAGCCATTAAGTCCTCATAAAACTGTTTCTTTTCCTTACAGAGTTTCTGCTATGGTGCTGGAAAGTCAGTTAGTGTGATGAGACATTTAGGTGGTCCTGAGAGAGAACTTCCCCGGGCACTGAAGCCAGGTGATCGAAGACGGCAGGAGGAAATTGATGATAGACTCGGTGGAGCAGGTGATGCAGATTTCTATTACAGGGGCCATTCTGCCTCCCTTGAGCAAGGCCCTTATGACAAAACACGTGAATGTAGAAAAGATGTTTTGAGGGAGACAGACATTGACTTGAGATTTCAGACTGGCAACAAGAGCCCTGAAGTGATCCGGGCATTTGATTTACCAGACACAGAGGCACAAGAGCATCCCAAGGTGGTACCCAGTGTAAGTCAGCAACTGTTTATTTTGTTGTCCCTTTGTGCTAGGCCTACATGCTTCTTGCAGAGCTTTTGATTGTTTTAACTTTTTTACCCTTCACTATTAATTACATCACTGGTGGTATACCTAGTTACTGTCTCTTCCTCCTTTTGGGCAGAAGTTAGTTCAGCTTCTTCAGAAGAAATTAAGTGATATTTGATTTTTATGCTAAATACTATTTAACCATAGCTTGTTGGATTAAGAGAGTAGTTCATAGGAAAATTCGTAGGGAACCAACAAATGAGCATGACTGAAATTTCTGTCTTGGACGAAATAGAGAAGAGGCCTGACTGAAGGCCCAGGGCACTAGGAGACGGGCGCTGGAGCCCTCACGGCCTGGTTGGGTGAGAGTGGCTGGCAGGGAGCAAGCCTGGCCTTCCCAATTCCGGTATCATTGGCTGGTTAGACTGTACTTTAATCTCCAGAGTCGGGAGGAGATTTTCATGTTAGTTATTTTTTTAAAAATGGGACATTTTCATTTCTGTTTTGAGAAGGGATTGATATTGTCATTTAGAGTTTTCAGCTCCAACTGTGAACCTTTTGACAGTTATGAGCACAATATAATCTAGGAAATTGTGGACTTTCTTCTAAAAATAAATGTTATCTCTATATATCTAGAACCCTTGAGGACAGCCCTTCCAGCTTTAATGGTTTTACCTCCCACTCATCTCAAAAATACTTGAGTTACTTCCTGTCTCATTTGAAGGGAAAACCTAGGCTGCCCTGCCCCACATCTGCCACCTTGTCACTTCCTGCTGACCTCAGTCACAAGGGTTCCTGACCTTCCCTTAAACTCAAGACTCTACTTGCCGTCTACTTTCTAGAATGCTTTTCACCTACATATGAGATACTGGTGACCAATCCTCTTGACCCTTCCTAACCTGGGTCACTAGACCACCTATGATGTCCACACTCCTCCATCTATAGTTCTGTGAGGCTATTTATATAATTATAATCCAGCACTGACTGGAACCAGGATTTGAAAGGGTTTGCAGCTTGCTACAATAGAACATGTTAAATGTTTTATTACTAAACCTTTATATTATGTTCTTTAGTTAAAATGTAATTCTGCACTTTATAGCATAAATCACCTATTCTGGATACAAAGTCTGGAGAGATTGGTGGCATCACAGGAGAAAGCACTGGGACAGAAAGCAGCCAGGCTGCTAAGCCTGCCTCTGGCCAAGCAGTCTCAGGAGCCCCCGAAGGCTCACTTGGCGTGGAAAAGGCCCCGCTGAAGAGTGAAGCTGAAGGCAGCCCCCAGAAGGGCAGTGTATGCAGCCCAGCATGCGGAAGGGATCCTATTAGCAGCCCCTGCGGCTAGAGGGATGGACATGGGCCACAGCTCTGGAGTCTTCTTTTGAGTTTTGTAAAGTATATTCTTAATATCTCTATTCACTCTTCCTACATACATTCTGGTATTTGCTACAAAGGTGCCAATTTAAGTGTATTTTTACTGACAATCAGAATGAACAAACACATGTATGTATGTAAAAGCTTCTATTTAATTTCATCTTTTAAAGATAAATTCCATAAAATTTTGAAGTATTAATTTTGGAACAAGGACTCATGCAATTTACTTTTAAAAATGAGTATTATGGCAGGTATATATTTGGATAACTAAAGTGACTAAATTAGGGGTCACTGCAGAAGAAATTTTGTTTGCAGCCAACCAGTGTGTGCTCCCTGGTAGAGGCCTGTATCACCTACTTTAGTTCACAGACTAATGTCCTGGCCAGGGTAGGTGCCACCAGTGTCAGTCCCACTGACACCTCAGTTTGTCTCTGGGTAGCACAGCCACAGATCAGCGTGACTTTCTGGTTTCATCCCTACTTGCAGCTATTACTGGCCCTGCTTCCTTATACTTTTTATGTCTCACTAATACAGAACTGAAGATTACCATGGGAATTTAGATTAACATAGCTTGATACATCCATAAATCTCAGATTTACATTGTCAACACACTTTAAAAATGGCTTTATTTGGGCTGGGGGTTTAGCTCAGTGGTGCTGCCGCCTGTCTCGAAAGTGAAAGGTCCTGAGTTCGATCCCCAGTACCAAAAAAAAAAAAAAGGCTTTATTCTTTCCCTGCCAAATGAAGTGCACAGGCTTTCTAAGACCTATTTTTCTTTTTGCTCAGAATCCTAGTATTTGGTACTGTTAGCTAATACTGTAGCTTATTTATGACAAACCATATTGTCTTGGCTATATGATCTAAATTCACAGATCTGTACATGGAGAAGAACATTATAATAAGGAAGACAGAATAGGGTGTTTTCATTACTGCAGTAAGTACATCAAAATTTTTCAGTCAACATTTTAAGTTAGTTTTCCTAGTTTCATGTTTTTTGTTTTGGTACCAGGGATCAAACTCAGGACCTTGCGCTTGCAAAGCAGGCAGCGGAACCAGAGCTAAATCCACCCCCCCATCCCCCACCCCGGTTTCATGTTTTTGAGACAGATTCTTGCTCTGTAGTCCAGGCTGGCTGGCCTGGAACTTGCTATGTGTCCCACTCATGATCCTGCCTCAGCCTCCCAAGTGCTGGGATTATAGGTGTGTGCCATCATACCTGGCTAGTTTTCCTTTTTTTAAAAAGCATTCTTAGAGATGCTGAGGCAGGAGGATCGCTACAAGTTTGAGGCCAGCTTGGGTTAGATAGTGAGTTCAGGCTAGCCTGAACTACATAATGAAACCCTGTCTCGAAAAGATCTTCATGTTAAATCTTTTAAAGGAGTTTACTGGCAAGCGCGGGGTCCTGAGTTCGATCCCCAGTATCAAAAAAAAAGCAATTTATAAATTTTGTATATATCCCTAGCTAGCAGACTTCACATATTCAGGTGTCCGTTGTTTTAACCATATTTACACTAGAAGTTATATTCAGCTGATTTCTAGAAATATTATCAGATATAAATTCTTAAATTTTCAAGCAGGTATTCCTCAAGACATTCAAAGCAGTTGCTTTTTGATATTTTTAACATGAAATGGAGACTATCCCTATTTGGTTCCAGAAGTATTAGGTGCCTGAAACAATTTTATCTGTTGATATTATTTTCTGGTTTAATATCGCAAGCCCTATTTAGTATTGCATCTGAAAGGTAATCATTTTAATCTAAGAAACACAAAGATTTTAACATTTGTCACACAGCAGGCATGTAACAGTTGGGTGAAGGAAATGCCTGCAGTTTAGAGATTTGTGAACATCTGTGTGGTCTCCCAAGACCAGACTTCTTGTACCGATCGGGGTGGATTTGTCCTCTCAGCTGTGACCTAGCTGTGAGGAGAAATGAATGCCTCATGTGATACTGTAATTGTGAGAGGAGGGGTGGGCAGTGTTTCTTGCGCTCCTGACTGCTTTCAGTCAATCCCCAAATGAATCTTTTTTAAAGCATTTAAAATTTCATCTTTGTATTCTTTCATTACAGATACCCATTTGGGGATGGCACCTACCTTAACAGCTAGCAAGGCAACGTGCTACCACTGTTGAATGATTACAGCAGTTCAGGGAAGAACTGATTAAAGCAAACTGAACCTATCAAGGCCAGTTATTCCAGAAGAGCAGTAAGGCTTGTTTGCTGACTAGCTATATTTGCCACTGAAATTAAGGCTCGTAGTAAAAAAGGCTTTTAAGAAAATCAGAATGGGGACAAACAGCTGTTTAAAGTATTTTTAAAATGGAATAATGCTGAATGTGTACAGGATCTAAGAACCACTGTATACACACAATAAACATTAACTTTTACATTATTGTGGTTATGCTGTCTTTGAGTTTTCTTGTAAAAAAAAAAAAAAAAAAAAAAGACCCATAAAGCATCTACAGCACATATATATAATTTTTTTTTTTTTTTTTTTTGAGTCAGAGCCTTGCTATGTAGTTTGGGCTGCCCTTGCACTATGTGGCCCAGGCTGCCCTCGATTTTGCAACGATCCTCCTGCCTCAGGCTGTCAGGTGCTGGTCTTACAGGCATGCACCACACCTGGCTATCTGCAGTTTTTTTTTTTAATGGTACATTTTAGGTATACAATATAATGACATTCATCTTTGGAGATTTGTACCTTTACATATTTTTCCCCATATCCAGTTTTTAAAGTAATGGTACGTAAGACATCCTACCTTACATATAACATATATGAAACATAATGTAACCCAGGTTTTTACCTGTGCTTTTGACAGTCTGTGTAATCTTAAAGCCATTTTATTTTTTGCTGGGCTCTTATTATATTTCCAGGCTATGTATGTATAACTTTTTTTTTTTAATACTGACCATTTTAGAGAAATGGGTCTTATTTTTGCCTATCAGGATCATCTGAATTTTTGCGAGGAGAAACAAGTCCCACCTGAGCTTTGCAGAATCTGAATCAACCAGAATTGAACAAGCTGTCAGTTTGTTTCAGGTGTGGATATTTGTTTTTTATGATTTAGCCTCATCCAGGCCCTGCTCCTGTCCCTTCCATATCGTTTCTTATGCTGCACTTATTTCATTATGGTAAGTACCCTTGTAAACTACCTTCCTAACCATTACCTTTCATGCTTAGTTTTTGTGAGTTTTCTATTTATGTGGCCTGAGTTCTTGAAAAAACCACAGGCATTTTTTTCTTTTAGCATTATGTCCTATAAAAGTTTATATTATAGTAGTAGTATGCAAGAAAACAAATAGCCCAAACACGCTAAAAGAAGTTTATTTCTTAATGGTTTCTTTTATACTGGCCTTGGCTAAAAATATATTGAAAACAGATTTTCTTAGAGGAAAAAAAAAAAATCTAGGTTGTTTTTTTTTTATAAGACTATATAACGTTTTTACATCAGTCAAGTACAATATTTCTACTGAAGAGTGTTATTTCCCACTAAATCCATGGTTAGGTATAAAAACTGCCATTGTAAAGATTTTTAAAAATTACCTCAGCAAGAGGATTAAATTCTAGTCTAGGATTCAATTAAATTTGTTTTACAAACACTAGTAAAGGACTAGCGAGCTTCCAAAGAACACAGTCCCTGGCAGTAATGACAGGATGCTGATGAAGCACCTTAACAGGACACCTTCACCTGAGACAAGTGAGTGCCTGCAGAGTGGTACCACAGAATGGTAATTCCCTAGTGCCACCCTACTGCAGGCTGAACATTTACACTGTTCTCAAGTCATTTTAAACTGTATTACAGTGCTGTAATTCTCCTTTTTAGGAAAAAATAGATTGAATTTCCCTGAAGTGCTCTGAAAGGAATAAGGTCTTTTAAAATATCTGTAGTAACTAGTGGTTTGCTGATTATTTTCCTGAATTTAATTCCAACAAAGCACTGCTTTGCAAAAGGTCCTTGAGCCCAAATTCTGTGTCTTTGTTTTGATCTCTTTGTAAAAGAACTCTCTGTTCATCCATTCTTTTAGCCTGAGACCGTAAAATAAGACTAAAAAAATCTTCGTCTGGTACCGTTGGACCCTTCGTGGCAGCAGGTGGAGGAGCACATCTTTGGTCATCTAATCTGGACCCCTAAAAATTTAAGAGAAAGATTAAAATACAAATACTTTAGGGAAGGAAAACACTGAATTATATGTCTGTCAGTTGATAACAAGAAATGGATCTGTAACCGTTTTTGCCTCTTTTGGAAATTTAATCTTTAGACCTGAAACCTAGTAAAATTTTTTCTTTAAAATGATGTATAGAATCAGAGTGTAGTATCATATAGAAGTACAGCCAAGTTTCATGGGTTTACTAAGTATATTACATCACACTGTGTTTTAATCATACTTGGTCACAAGAAATAATCTGGAGTCAACTGTGTCTCAGTATATGACAGGTCAAGAATTACAATCTTACCATTATGGACACCAACAATGTAACTCACCAAATCTCTAGAAGCAATGTTTTCTACAAAATCCCTGAAGCACTATCTTTAAAAAGCCTTGGGCCACAGGGGACTGCAAACTGTAACTCAATACCTGCTTTCGAAAGCTTTCACCATCGAAACACTGGCTGTCTCCAACCCCCATGTGTACACCTGGCTCACTGTTCAACATTTCTCCTGTCATAATTCTCGATCATTCCAGTGGGCTCCAATCAATTCAACAATTGGGCACTTAAGTTTCTAGCCTTTTAGGCACTTTGCCCATTTTTGTATCAGTTGATTTCTGTTGTTCAGTTTTAGGAGTTCTCTATATATTCTATAGTATAGAATATATATAGTAATCCTTTGTCAGATATACAATTGCCAAATATTTTCTGTGGGTTGCCTTTTTCTCTGTTGATGATGTGTCCTGATGCACAAGTTTTTATTTCTGTGATACTGGGATGGAACCCCGCCACTGAATTACATCCTAGCTCTATATTTTTCTTTTTTTAATCTTTTTTTTTTTAAGACAAAGTCTCACTAAGTTGTATGCTGGCTTCAAACTTACAATCCTCCTGCATCAGCCTCCCATGTACTGGTATAGGTGTGTGTCACCACACCTGCCAAGTTTTTATCTTTCCTTTTGTTTGGGGATTGAACCTAAGGCCTTTGCACTAAACTACATCTCCAGCCCTTTTAAAATTTTGAGACAAGGTCTCAGTTAAGTTGTTCCGCTGCCCAGACTGGCTCAAACTTGCCATCCTCCTGCTTCAGAGTGCTGAGACTATAGGCATGGACTAAATGCCTAGTTTTTTCTATACATCTTACATACATTTCCAAATAATTGCAGGCTGAGTTCCCAGAACTGAAATTGGTGACTCAAAAGGTATATATATATTTTCATATGTAAACTTTTCATTCTTTCAAATTCTCAAAAAGTCTTTCCCACTTTGAACCGACTCCTCTTTCTACTAGACCATTTCTGTCTGTAGACATGCTATAGTATCACCTAAAGTAAGGAAAAGCCCATCTTTACCCTACATGCGTCCCAGTGAATGGTCCATTTCCCCACTTCTCTTTTTAAGAAAAAGTTCTTGGGAGTTTTCTCTATTTATACTCTCTCCTTAATACTTCCCATTTTATTGTACTCTTGTCACCAATATACCAGACAAATGGTGTTTTCAAAATTACTAATCCCCATCTTGCCAAACCTGGTAATTCAGTTATTATATTATTTGGTTTCTTAGCAATATTTTGAACATCCTTTACGATAATTTCTTCACTTGGCTTCCACCATCATACCACACTCTGGTTGGATTTTCTTCCAACTCTGGCTACTGCTGCTTTGTTGGGTCATTTTTCTCTCTTTAACTAGTAGATTTTACCTTTTTTTTGTGGTGGTACTGGTAATCAAACACAGGACCTTGAGCAAGTGCTCTATCATGAGCCACATCCCCAGCCTGAACTAGAAGATTTGGGAATGCGTCTTCCTATTTCTTTATTCTTTGGATGTAATCTTTTTGAAGAGCTTTAATGCCAGCTATATGCTCATGTCTCATAAATTTACTTCTGCCTCAAGCTTCATTTTTATAAATTGCTTATTCAACCTCACCATTACATTATCTAATTCAATATCTCATATTTATTTAAAATTCTTGCTTTTTCTCCCCAGACTTTAGTCTTCTGTCACCATTCATTCACCCTATTATTCACACCAGAAAGACAGAAACCATCCTTGAGCTCTTTTACTCAGGCCCCCTATTCAGTTTATTAACAGGTCTTGCTAACCAAACATAACTTCAAAATGTGTCTCCATTCTACTTGTACCCCTATCACCACCCTTGTTCATGTTAGCTTCCTGGCTGGTTTTTGTACCCAAACAATTGCCACTCGACTTATTTCTGTCAGTATCCAAGGTGATCTTTCAGAATGCTCCAATAGCTTCCTAACACCATTGGAACACAAGATATCATCATGACCTACCTAGGAGCTAATCATACTTGAAGCTGTTAAGCTATTATATCCAAGAGGGGATTTGCTGATTCTGCATGGAATGCTCTTTCTCTATTCACATGGCTGTCTGCCTTACTTCATTCAAGTCTGTTTAAAATGCAATCCAGAAAGGTCTTCTTTAACCACCCTATCTAAAACAGACACTCCCCTACCATCCCACCACTCATGATTACCTATTACGCTTCATCCCTTATCATTCTTCATTTTTTATAGCAGTTATCATTGACTTTCTCTGTGCGTGTGTGTGTGTACATATCTACTTCCATGTCTATATATATGGTGTAGTATCAAAGAATACAGTGCATATTTAAATTTTTAAAAAATTATTACAGTGAAAGACACATTGCCATTAATCATCCTCAAAATATTCTCCCTCAGGGCTGGAGATTTAGCTCAGTGGTTTTGCTGCCTGCTGCGCAAGCTCAAGTAGCTCAGTTCGATCCCCGGTACCAAAAAAAAATAAATAAATTAAAAAAAAAATATATATATATATATATTCTCCCTCACTTCAAACACTTATTCTATCATTCTTGCCACTTTTGAAGCAATTCTGGAAGTCCTCTTTCATGAGTGTCTTTAGCTGTGCTGTCATGGCTATCTCAATGTCCTGAACTGATTCAAAACATCTGATTTTAGGAAGAGTCAGAAGTTGCATGGTGCCAGATCCAATGAATAAAGTGGATGAGGAAACATTATGATTTTAGGAATCTGCCTTTCCATTGGATGGAATGTGGCAGCAGCATTCACTATATTTTAAAAAAATCACATCTCATAAATGTGTCTTACTGTAATAGTTTTTAAAAAAATTTAAACATTTACCATATTTCTGTCACACTATATATATGCATGCATTTTTTTATCTATATATGTGTGTATGTGTTCACCTCTCACTAAAATTTAAGGTCCTTTAAAAAGCAATACCTCAAATTTACATTTAATACCTCAAATAGTAAGTGGTATTCAATAGTTTTCTGAATGATGGACAATAAATAATAACTTCCTAATACAAAATAAACTTCCTATATAGGAAGGCATCTAACCTATAAACAGAATGAAAAGAACATGCAGACATACTTGACACTTTACAAGGATGTCAAAGAAGCCCTCATCAGGATCTTTGTTGTCCTTAGTCATTAGGTGATCAAGTACCGACTGTCTGCTGTTTTTTGTCAAACGAAGCCCTGGCAAATTATTGAAGCTGGCCCTTTGGTCATCCAGACGGCGGCTCTGTGAGCTGGCGAGAAGGTCTAAGAATTCATCTGTGTTGGGGGACACCACAGAAACAGATGGTGCTATAAATAGAAAAAAATTCAAAATCTTAACAAAACATCTCAACACATACATTATATGCACAGTTCTTTTCTGCCTTACCAGCCCAAATACCTGCTTTGTCCTCCTGCTTTAGCACTGTCTCTCATGGACCCTGACTAGATAGATGGCTGTGCCTTCTAGTGGCAGGCAGCAAAGAAGGAAACTCAAAGGAGCCACATGGAGATTATTCAGCTCTGTCTAATGCTCACCTGAAATGTAACTATAAAGTACAGGCCTAGTCTGTGTGAGGTGAGTAAACTTTTTTAATAAAACTGCTTGGACAAGGATGAGTGGGATAGTGTTTTTTCTTCCACTTCCTGGATGGAACTATTTAGTGAACTAAACTGAGGGTCAAGTGTTGCTGGCAAGTCTTGGTCTATGGTAGGGGTCTTTTAGTAGCTGAAACAGGAAAATTTAAAGAACCTATTTTAGACCTTTCTTAAGATTTAGGCCTTAGCTTCAGTTTCAGTCTTAGCAATCTGCCTCTTCAGTCTGTCAAGGCTTTTCTCTTCTATTCCAGATATGAAATATTTACATATTATATACAATCATAAGGAAAGTATATACAACCATCATTTTCATTATTTTTTAGTGCTCGGGATCAAACCCAGAGCCTCACACTCACTAGGCGAGAGTTCTACCACTGAGCAATATCCTTAGCCCATCATTTTTAAAGTCAGATTTTTCCCAGCTCCAAAGAAAAGAGAGGCAGTACTGATAGAGTTAGTTCAAAGCATAGCGGATTAAACACAGATGTAAGGGAACTGAAAAAATCTTGTTTTTAACTGTACAAATACCAGCATTTTAAGTATCCTATGATGAAAACTAAAGTCTCAGATATAAATCCTAAGAATATCAAGGAGAACTACAAAAAATAGTGGAGAGACACAGATGACTGACCCTTCAGCATCATTTTTGGGGGAGTGGAAGAAGTTGCAGCAGCAGCTGTGTGGCAGTTCTTTTCTTGTAAGCAGCACCTCTGATCATCCATCCTATTGCTTTGAAATCGGCTTAACAGGTCAAAGAATCCTTCATCTCCAATAGTTTCTGCACTGATTTTCTAAACATTGGCAGAGAATTGAGTACATTTAAATATCATTACCCTTAGCTCATTAATGAACAGGAAGATGCACCCAAATGCAAAAGGTAAAGGATGAAGATTAAAATTAAAGGTCAAGTACAAACACCCAATGATAAATGTAAATGTATTTTTTACCTAAAATGTACCAATAAATATATATATTTTAAAAAAATAAAATAAAAAATAAAATGAAAAGTAAAAAAAATTAAAGGTCAATATTTAATTTTAATTTTCTAAGAATATAAGTAGCAATACTGGTAATAAAGTAATTACCAATTCAACTAAAAAGGCCATTTCTAGTTATTTTAACTTTTAATTCCCATATTTCTAAGTCTTAGGTCTTGGTCTGGAGAGAACCGCTATAGGTACTGAATAAGTTTTGCAAATACAGCCATGTATCACTTAAAATGGCAATCCATTGAGAAATACATCATGTGAATGGCAGTATACTTTCAAAAGCCTGGATAGTATACACAGCCTACTACCCACCTAAGGCGTATGGTATGTCCTATTATATACGGTTTGTCACAGATGGAAATGTTGCTGTGTAGCACACAGCTAGCTGTATTAGCAATACAGACATCTACCTTAGGCTCAAAGTTCATTTTTAAGATTCTACAAAAGCATTTAAGTAAACTTATCTTTGTAAGAACTGTTAAACTAATAAAGAAAGCAAGTATATTTTTCCAAGCAGAATGCTTTTCAATGTTGTTTGTTTTTGTTTTTCTCCAGTGCTGGGGATTAAGTCCAGGCCCCTTGCATGGTAGGCAAGAGCTTATCATTGAGCCCAGCTCTTTTCAAATTTCATTTTGAGACAGGGTCTTGCTAAATTTCTCAGGCTGGCTTGGAACTTTGATCCTCCTGCCTCAACCTCCAAGTTAGCTGTGATTAAGGACACATACCACCACACTTGGCTCCAAGGTATTTGTATTAAAGATTTGAAGATCCTGAAAAACTATAAACTGTAAATAAATGGATTTTTTGGGAGGAGGAGGGGACTTTTCAATACTTTTAAAAGGATTCAAAATTGAAGTGACAAATGCCACATTTAATACAAGCAACTTTAAAAAAATTCTTTTCATAAGAATTTAAGTATTATAATATAGGGACATAAAATGTTATGGGCTTAGGAGGGGCTGTTAACTAATTTTTAGGAAAAGTTCACAAAAGTATTTGTGTTGGCTTCTTAAGAATGAATGGAGGGGCCGGGGATTTAGCTCAGTGGTGCTGCTGCCTGCCTCACAAGCACAAGGTCCTGAGTTCGATCCCCAGTAGCAAAAACGTAACAAAACAAAAGAATAAATAGGGGGCTGAGGATTTAGCTCAGTGGTGCCAACACCTGCCTCACAGCGCAAGGTCCCGAGTTCGATCCCCAGAACCAAAAAAAAGAATGAATAGGCAATTGCCGGTTAAAGATGTTTTATGTCCATTAATATTATTATTTTTTTAAAAATTCTTTTATTGGTACATTTTAGGTATACAATTCATTTACATTTATCACTGGGTGCTTGTACCTGTACATGATGTATCTTGGTTATTTTTTCCCCATTACCTGTGTGCCCTTCACCTCCTCTACCCTTCCCTATTTACATAGATTTCATTTCCATTTTTTTTCTTTTCTCATAATTTTTTCTTTCCCTCTTTTCCTTTACCCTTCCCCTCCCTTCACTCCCTTCGTCTTTGGACCTTTCTTCCTATTTCAAATTATCAATTATTCATTTTAATCATTTTGACTCTTGTTTACACTATCAGTTTCTCACACTAGAGAAACTATTTGGTATTTACACATGTGTGTCCTATTTATTTCACTTAAGAGTATGACCTCAATATGCATCCATTTAGCTATAAATTACTCTAATTTCTCGTTCTTTATGGCTGAGTAGTACTCCATTGTATAAAAAAAGACACCTTCTTTAGCCAGTCTCCAGTTGATGGGCACTTGGGCTGCTTCCGAGCTTTAGCTATTACAAACTGTGATGCTATAAACATGGGTGCACATATATCTCTGCGGTATGATTCTTTTAATTTTGGGGGGAAGATACCCAGCAGGGGAATAGCTGGGTCAAATGGGACCTCTAGTCCTAGTTCTTTGAGGTATCTCCATACTGATTTTTCCATGGTGGTTGCACCAGTCTGCACTCCCATCAACAATGGAGAAGGGTTCCTTTCTCAATATTAATTATTGTTAGTGTAAATCAATATGATCCACTTCTGCTCTGCATCTACAAAATATTCCTGAACCATTTATATCCACCCTATGATTTTTCCATTTGTTAGCCATATACAGTCCAGTAAAGCTGTGTAAGAAACCAGTGACAAAAATCAAGTAAAGAATATTATAAGGGTGTGTAGATATAGATGGAATTCTGAAAAGAGGGCCGCCAAGAGAAATCTCCAGTTAAAAGAAAAAAGTAAATTCTTTCAAAGGCTTTCATTGCTTGAAAAAGGGACTTGATAATATGAACTACCTTCCTTGTAACTTACTTTGATCCTCTTATGAGAATTATAGGATAGCCAGCTTAGAGATTTCCTTGATACTTATCCATAAGCTCATGGTATTTTTATTTCTAACATTACACTTAATAAATTGCAGAGGCTAGAAAACAAGGAAATATGGACAAATTCTTTGAGTAACAAAGATATTTTAAATGTCTAATTTAAATGATCAAAATTTAGGATTAATAGAAGAAAATTAAAATAAGTAAGTATTCCAAATAAAATAAAACATACCCTCTGAGAATTCAGATTTCGATGGTCAATGGAGTTACTGGCATCTTGGAGAACTTTAGTGGAGGAATTGGTTTTGTATTTTTTCCCCTTTAGTCTGTTGACAAAGAGTAGCTTTGCAGAAGGTTTGGCAATGAGAGGTTTTTGTTTAGCAAGTATTTCACTGTTCCAGTTTTGTACCTACAAATTATAAATGAAAAGCAGGACATGAACAAACCTCAACTCTCTCTGGTTTCCTGTAATACTGACCTGACATCTTTATTCATTATTAATGGGATGGGGGTAAATTTTAGATCTCTTACTAAACCTCTTTTCAGTATATTTTACTATTTTCAAAAGCTTATAGCAAATGCATACTCTGGATTTCTCATTCTCAAAACATAAAAATGGTTTTTTTTAAGAGCCTAAGAATAAGAAATGTTTGCCAAAAACTCTTTAAAAATAAAATTTGCATAGTCAGAGAAGGAGCCAAAATATTCTGGATGTGAGTTACATAAAAATCTGTTACAATTGGAAATCTAGGGTATATGTAGAATTCTAACCATAAAAATTAACATCTAAAACCTAATATAGTACTAGTAATTTTTCTGTCGATAAAGCTATATTGTTTTCACTAATACACACAGTACTAAATTCTCAATAGGCAAAACCAACCGATACAGGTCTAAATCTGTGTTGTGTTTTTTTTTTGGTACCGGGGATCGAACTCTGGTCCTTGCGCTTGCGCAGCAGGCAGTGAAACCGCTGAGCTAAATCCCTGGCCCTAAAATTAATGTGTTTTTTAAAAAATTAAAAAAAAAATTTTTTTTTCTAAATCTGGTTTAAGTACACATGACAATCTCCAACACACTCAAAATAACAAATACTACTGTACTGTACAAGGGGAAAATACACAGTACGAAGTTCATTGATGTTGGCAGTTTTAACAGTGAGTCTTAAGTATTTGCAAATAATTGTAAAGGTCCATGGTATATAATAATTGATAATTTTGGTTAGGTACGTTTTTTCATAAGTAAAATTTATGCACACTCATATGCAAATTTAAGTTGGAAGCCATATAACCCCTACCCTAAATTAAAATATAAAACATCTGTGTTGACTCAGCAAGTCCCCTATTATAAGGTACAAATTGGTGTAATCCCTGCTCTGAAGCTCATGTACAGGAGACATGGAGCTAGTAAGTGAACTAAACCTTTTATTCCTTTTCATATGCAAGTTATAAAGGGAAATTATTTGCTAGAGTAAACTTCTTTTCTGTTGATTGAAGAAAAAAATGGCACTTATGTATGTATGTGGTACCAGGAATTGTACCCAGGGCCTTTGCCCCAGCTACATTCCCAGCCTTTTTATCATTCTGAAACAAGGTCTTGCTAAGTTGCTAAATTGCCTAGACTGGATTTGAACTGGTGATCCTCAGGCCTCAGCTTCCCAGAGTGCTGAAATTATAGACAGTGCCACCATGCCTGGCTAAGAAAATAGCTCTTAATGTAAGAACATAGAATTGCACCTAACACCCAAGTAGAGATGTGAAAAATAATTACATAAAGTTATTAGTTATTTGGACATCTATCTCGTAACACTAAAAATGAATAGAGTGGCCAGGGATTTAGCTCAGTGGTGCTGCCTCCTGCCTCGCAAGCACAAGGTCCTGAGTTCAATCCCCAGTACAAAAAAAAAAAAAAAGAGTAGAACAGTGGAACAATGTCTATTTAAAGTTATGAAAAACAGTTATTTTTTTTCAACCACAAATTCAAGGTTTTTTTTCCTTTTGCTGCTGGGAACAGAACCAAGGCCTTGTGTGTACTAAACACCAGCTCTACCACTGAGCCACCCCACCCCACCCCGTACTGGGGATCGAACTCAGGACCTTGTGCTTGCCAGGCAAGCATGGCGGCACTGAGCTACATCCCCTGATCAGCCCCCAGCTCTCAACCAGTTCTATTGTTGGTAAAATTACCAAATGTGAGACTACGAAGAAACACACTTCCACTTATCCAAGTCTCAAAAGTTCCTTTTCACCCCCCTCCTTGCCAAGAAGCATCATATTTCAGGCTCCTTTGCTCCTTAGGTATACGTCTACTTCATTGAGAGTAAGAAAATATAAAAACTCTAGCAATTTTATTGTAAGCAAAAGAAACCACAATAACTAAGACATTTTAAAATAAAGATAAATCTTGGCTGTTGGAGAATTACAGGGCTGAATCTTGTCAACTTCTTATAAAATTCCTGTTAGTATTACAGATGGAGGCAGAAGGTAATAAATTAATTTTGTTGCTTATTAGTAGGCAGTATATTAGGTCCCTTCTAAAAGAAGAACAAAAGCCAGAGTTCTTGACCTAGAGTTTTAAAAAATAATTTGTGAATTTAATAGATTTATGTTTGAAAACTACTCAGAAGACGAGAACTATATATTTTGGGACAGTCACAAATTTCTTCAGAAATTATCAGAGTTTTTATACAATTGTAAAAATGCTAAAACGTTGGATATGAATCCAAGACCATTAGATGCTGGACTTTTTGAAAGCTATCCACACAAAAAGTATCAGTACTATGAAATCATATGCTAGTTAGTATGATAGGGCAAAAGACTAATGACACATAAAGATGTTCTTGACACACAAGTACTGATGGCAAAACAGTATCTATCATATAACATTCTCAGTGTTGTTTTCATCTGCATTTCTTGAATGACCAGTGATGTTGAACATTTTTTCATAGTTTTATTTGCTGTTTTTACTTCTTTGTCTGAGAAATGTCTGTTCATTTCAGATGCCCATTTTTGAACTGGGTCTTTAAATTTGGGGGGTCTGATTTTTTTAAGTTCTTTATATATTCCAGATAATAGACCTTTGTCTGAGGTACAGCTGCTAAAAATTTTTTCCCACATTGTAGATTGTCTCTTAGCTGTACTGGTGGTTTCTCTGGCAGTGCAGAAGCCTTTTAATAAGATGAGATCTCAGTTGTTGATTCTTTGTGCTAGTTCTTGTGCTACTGAGGTTTTGTTCATAAAGTCTTTGCCTATGCCAATGTCTTCAACCTTGCTGGATTTTCTAAAGTTGCTGTAAGGAAGATATTTTATAAAAATCATTTTTTTTTTTGGTTTTTTTTGGTACAGGGGATCGAACTCGGGACCTTGCGCTTGCGAGGCAGGCAGCTAAATCTGAGCTAAATCCCTGGCCCTATAAAAATCATTTTTAAAAAAGTACCACAAAGGAAGCTGGGTGTGGTGGCTGTAATCCCAGCACTTAGGAGGCTGAGGCAGGAGGACTGTCACAAGTTCGAGGCCAGCTTGGGCTACACAGAGTGCAAGGTCAGTCTGAACCTCATAGTGAGACCCTGTCTCAAAAAACAAAACAGAACAAAACAAAAAAGTATCACAAAGGAATGAGAGTCTATTTTAACAATGTAAAATTAAGTAGAGGTGGAAGAAAGAGGCTTTATTTGTTCTCCAAAAAACCTTTTTCGAATTATGAAAAAGGTTCTGTAGCCCCCTTCTGTAGCCCCCCACACCCTGCGCCAAAGCCCAGGGAAGATACATCTTGAGTAAAATGTACCTTCTTCAACAGTTAAAAAATGCCTCTCCAAAAACAGCCAGGAAGACTAATCTCCTCTGGATTATAAATTTCATTAACTTTGGCAATGTTACTATATTACATACCTTAAAAAAAACCTTCTTCACCCCTGTTTGATCTTCCTGGTATTTTTTTAATTAAAAAGAAGTAATACGTTTACATGGTAAGTATTTAAAAGTTATTCAAATAGTTCAAACTGGTATACAAAGTAAGTCTAGCCTACCTCAAACACCCAATTCTCTTCCCAGAAACAATAATTATTAGAAAGCTTCTTAAACAATTTTCCATGTTTTATGAATCTACACAGGACATATATCCATATGTCTTTTTCTTAATCACACAGGTGGATGCTAATACATTCTTTCTATACTGTATCTGATTCTTCTTCTTACTGGAGATCAAACTCAGGACCTTGTGCTTGAAAGGCAGGCACAGCGCCACTGAGCTAAATCCCCAGCCTTGATACTTCTTATAGGCAAAATTTTAAGTGATATTTATAAATGACAAAGCTTATTTAAGCCATTTTATTTAAAAGTTACTAAAAACTAACAGTTTATAAAGTTTAAAACATAAAAACACCCTACCTTTGGGCCAGATATTTAGCTCAGTGGTTTCACCACCTGCTGTGCAAGTGCAAGGACCCGAGTTCGATCCCCGGTACCAAAAAAACCAAAAAAAAAACCACCCTACCTTTTCTGGTGTTAACTTCATAAGTTCCATATTTTCCATACTGTGTCGGCGTCCCAACTTGGGGCATGCACCTTTGTAAAAACAAAAAATTAATTCAAATAAACCAGGAAGTCTTTAAGAGTGTAAATTAAAAAAAAAAAGAGTATAAATTCAGCATTTCTACATAATTCATTTCTAAAGTCTGATGTACAAATACTTATGAAATGAAGAAACATATGCAAGCATGTATTTTTTAAAGAATATTTTCCATACCAGCTACATAAAAATACACACTCTCCCTCAACAATGCTTTGATATAAAGAGGTTACAGTTTATTTGGAAACTCATTATTGGTTACTAACATTACCCCTTAATTTAGAAAAGGCATTTTATTATAACTGGTATAATATTATCCACAGTCTAAAGAAAACCAAACAAGCCAGAGTGGTTTCTGTTAGTAAAAGCATAAGGAAAAGCATTTAGGCCTTCAATTTTGAGAAAAGAATAGAAATAACATCCCAAGTACTATACTGATACTTCTAAGTTACCCTTTTCCATCTTAAGATCTCCTTAGATGATGAGTTCACTGCAATTCAGGAAACAAGTTAAATAAAAGCAATGGTTCTTAAAATTTTTTCAATAGTTATAAAATATTAAGTACAGTACAAAGAATTTCCATAACCATCAATCTTTTAAAATTTAAGAAGTATTATCAAAGATATAAAGAATATGTGATACCTAATAACAATGTAGCTTAGAAAATAAAACATTAGGAACACATTGACTCCCTTTTGCGTAACTCTTCTTGTAACTTCCCTCTTTCTTCCAGCACTTGATTTTCTGGTGCTGGAGATGGAACCCACCTCTACCACGGAGCTACATCCCCTGCTCCCTGCATTTTTATATATTTTCATTACATATGTATGTATTTCTAAGCAAAAAAGCATTATGTGCACTGTTTTGAAATGTTTACAAAAGACATCATACTGTTTTTATTCTTCAATTTGCTTTCTTTGAGCAACCTTGTTTGTGAGATCCATCCAAGCTAATATGTATAGTTTAGTTTAAGTCATTTCCACTACCATTTTAAGAGAAGTTATCTGTTATACTAATGATAGACATTAATATTTTTTCTATTGTAAGCAACACTGTAGAAATTCCTGGTAATTTTTCTTGGTGTACAGGAGCAATCCAGTTTAGATAACAGGTATACATACTGGTAGCAGGATATATTCTGGGTCATAGATATGTACATGTTTAACTTCACCAGAATGCTGCCAATTCTTCCAAAGACACCAATTTCTGTCCTATCACCACTGTATCAGAGTTTCCACTACTTGACATCATGTCAATACTGGTATCAGACTTTCAAATTTTTGTTCAATGCATGGACTTTCAATAATACTTTGGTGTAGAAAGAAAAGGGGCAAAGGGGGAAGAGGAAGTGGGAGGGGTAGGGGAAAGGAAAGAAGGGAAAGGAAAAATTATGAGAAATGAAAATAATGGAAACAAAGTCTTTGTAAATAGGGAAGGGTGGAGGGCGTGAAGGGAG